TTTAAATCTATGCTGGTATGTACAGTACTGTACATTCCACCTATATCTCTCGTATCTGTCCCATTCACTTCACTCAAATCATTCTACTTAAGTCCCTCACTCCCTCTCACATGGATTATTGCAATAACCCCCTAATTAACCTTGCTGCCCTCTCCAAGCCATCCCTCATACACCTATCAACAACCACATAAAAAGTTTCCAAATCACTGATAAGAAAAATGCAAATTACAAGTATGGGGTTCAAGCTCACACCTACTAGATTAGCAAAGTAACACAAAAGGAAAATGACAATTGTTGGAAGGAAAGTAGGAGGAAGGGCCCACTAATGCAGAGTTGATTCAAAATCGGTTCAATCTCTCTGAAAAGTAAGTGGCTCTGTGTTATCTCTAGGGAAAAAAAAATACAAAATCTTCCTTCACAACCTGGCTACAACCTACCCTTCACAGCTTTAATAGACATTAGTCCTCTTTACACACTTGTTATCCAGTCAAACCAGCCTTCTTACTGTTCTTCACATGCAACATTCCAATCTCCAGCCTCTGCGCCTCTGTCTAGGTTGTGCCTTATACCCGGAATGAACTTTCTCCTTACCTCTGCCTCTTAGAACTCCTAATGTCCTTCAAGGCTTAAGCTCAAATGCTACCTTTTACATAAAGTCTTTCCTGATGTCCCCAGTTGCGTGTGGCTTCTCCTCAAAATTACCTTGCATCTACATAGTATATATTGATATATGTATGTATCCTTCTCCCCCACCATCCCTACCCCATATACTATGAGATCCTTGAAAACAAGGACCGTTTTCATCTATGTCTTTTTTTCTGGTTCATTGCACATAAGCAAATGCTTAATAAATGTTGATTGATTATTATGCCACCCTACCTGCGTCCTCTTCACCTTAGACCTATTCTTCTATTCGACTTTTCTCTTGTCAGGTCTACAAAGCCCATTTGAGTCAAATTTATTGACTTTGGGTGGCGTAGACAGCCTCCCTTCTATTAGCTGGGCAAAAGTTAGGGAATTCTAAATGAAGAGAAGGAAGGAGAAAGTTGGGGTGGGAGTTAAGAGGATCACTGTTATGGGAGCTTCTGGGTTGGTAAAATTACCAGGGAGATCCCAGGCCCCTGGAAATCTTTACTCCTGTAGGTAGATTGTGAAATTCAGGGTGCCCACTCTAAACCAAGGTCAGGGAACAGGCTTCCCAAACCACTGCCTCAACAGAACTCCCTTTCTCCCTCCTGCCTCTTCCTCTCTTTTCTCCTCTCTTCCTATCTCCCTCCCCACCCCCACTGCTGGCCTTCCCCCAAACCCAAGGGAATCCAGAGCATTAGAAACTCCAGTAACGAAGCCAGGTTGTCTGCCTTCCAAGACCCAGAAGCTTTACAACCCCCCCCCCCCAGGAGCATTGCCTGGCTAAAACCATCCCTCCAGGCCCAGGCAGATGTGGGCAGAGTGAAAAGTGGAGAGTGGGAGAGATAGGGCGGAAAGAGAAATCACTCTTAGTCATCTCAGAATATTGCAGAATTTTTTAGGGACCTTAGATACGGCTTCATCTGACTTAGCCTCCACCCACATTCAGCTTCCCATTCCTTACATTGATCACCCTAGTCCTGTGGACAGAACTTGTCCCTTAAGCTCAACCTCCACTCCCAACCCCACCTCCTCAGCCTAACATCCCCTTGTGCTCTGGAGAGCTCCTATTTGCCACATGAGCCCCATTCCACACCCTAGGCCCCCATCCTTTACCCTGAGTCTGGCATCTCCGGTAGTTTCCTCATTCCCTGCATAGCATCTCGTCCTCTACACTCATCACTTACACTCAGTGCCCCCATCCCCTATGCTCACCTTCACCTCCCCGCACTATGCTCACTTATCGTTCCAGTCAGTTCCCTGTACTAAGTCTCTATACTAATTCAACCATTCGCTATACTAAGCTCCTCCCATCTCACACTTAATCTTCCCCTCCACCCCCCATCCCTATCCTACAAACAATGCTCCCCAAGCCCTAGAATACGTGAGCCCCATCTCCCAGAGTTACAAACAGTCCACCCCACCCCCACCATTGTCTACAAGGCTGGGCCCATTTGAAAATTTCTTCCTAAGAGAAATATTAAGGGGAAAAATGTAATATAGTGGAAAGAGCATTGATCTGAGGATCAAAAGCCCTGAGTTTGGATCCTGATTCTGTCACCTATTAGCCAAGGGTCTGTTACCTGCTTTGTCACTTAACCTCTCTGAGGCTCATTTTTCTTATCTGTAAAATGGGAATATAGGAATACTTATACTACCTTCCTCAGAGAGTTATTGTGAAGAAATCTATTTACCAACTAGAAATTCTTCCTTTCTTCCTTCCTTCTTTCCATCCTTCCTCTCTTTCTTTCTGGCCCTGCCTTTCTTTCCTTTCCCCTGTAGCCATGAAAAGAAACCCTTGCTCCCAGATAGGAAGCACCAGGATTAACATCCTTAGCTAAGGCACATTGCTATGGTACTTCACCCTCTGGATAGTTTCTGGGCCCATTAAGGGTATGTGAAACTGGTTTATAGTTCTCCCCAAACCCTGCCCATCACCCCTGCCCACTGTCCTGATCTGATCCCTTCCTTCCATATGACCTTGCCGCCTTACAAACTGACTGTCCCACTTTCCCCCTGCTCTAATATTCCTTCCATAGGGATCCTGGTCTTAAAATTTTAGATAAGTCACTATGCTATCTCCCATTCCCTCCCCAAGTCTTTTCTCCTCCAGGTTGAACAACCCCAATTTCATCAATGTCTCTTTGTGCGTTGGGGCCTCCAGACCCATCTTCTGCAGGCTCTGATCTAAGTCAGAAAGACCTAAACTCAAATCCAGCCTCAGGCACTTAGTAGACTCTGGGCAACTCACTTAACCTTTGCCCATCTTGGTATCCTCATCTGTAAAATGGAAATAATAGCACCAACCTCCCAGGGATGTTGTGAGGGTCAAATGAGATAACATTTATTAAGTGCTTGACACATAGTAGATACTATTTAAATGTTAGAAGTTACTATTATTATTCTGAATCTACCATTGACTAGCTGTGTGACTCTAGGGAAATCCCCTAAAACTCTGAACCCTAGTTTCCTCCTCTATGAAATATGTATAAAAACAACACTCTTACCGATCCCATGATAGAAGGTTAAGGCCAAAAAACTGGGGATAAGTTGGTGCAGTGGTTATTAACTTCTGGAAATTCACTGGGGTTTTCCTGAAAGGGTTCATATTCTGCCCAATATAGGAATACTGACTTGTACATTGGAGGCCCTCAACAAATTTTTATTGAATTGAACATGAAGAGAAGGGTTCAACTGTGATGATTAAGTTCTGAGAGGAGATGACCTTTCCATGGCTTGAGTCTGGCCTTGCCTGAACTGCAGGGGGGAAACAGAAGGACCCCGATCTGGCTTATGCCTTCCATCTCAAGAGCCACCGTTGGTTTCCTCCAAGCCCAAAAATTAGAAGTCACATCCTCTCCCCCCACCCCACCTCCAGCTCTTCGACGCTATCTTCAATCAGTCCCAAGAATCCAAAGGCGGTGGCTTCCTGAGGCAGAGTGCATTCTGTTTTCATTCATCCAGCTGCCAGAGTTCTTTCATCCTCACTATCTCATCAACCCATCAATCAATCAACATGGCACAGTAGTTATGCCTGGTCTGGGGATAGGAATAAAGAAATGGAATAGGCCCTGCCCTCACTTAGCATGCTCACTGATAAGTATGTAAAGGATATAAACAAAATAAATTTACAGTGATTTGGGGAGGAAGGGAGGGAGGAACCACTAACAACTCAAAAGTCCTTTTAAGCTGATGAGCTTTAAAGGAAACTAGGGGTTCCAAGAGCTGAAGGAGAGGGAGAACATTCCAGGCCTGGGGCACAGCTTGTACGAAGGTAAAGAAGTGAGAGATGGAATGTCATGTATGGGGAACAACAAGTATGCTAGTTTCGCCACAGGGTGCTGTGCATGAAGGGGAGTTATGTAGCCTGAAAAACAGAAGCCAGAGACAGATCGTGTTTAAAGGTCAAACTGAAGTTTGTATTTTAATCTAAGGGTAAATGGGAGCTACTGAAGCCTCTTGAGTGGAGAATTGATATAATCAGACCTGTGCTTTGGTAACATTAGTTTGGCAGCCATGTGGAAGGAATATTGATATAATGATAATAATAATAATAATTTATATAGCACTTAAAGGATTGCAAAGCACTTTACAAATATCATTTCATTTGATTCTTACCTGGGAAATATGTACTATTATTACCTCCACTTTACAGATGAGAAAACTGAGGCAAATAGAGATTAAGTGACTTGCCCTAGGTCTCATAGCTAGTAAGTATCTGAGGTAGGATTAGAACTCAGATCTTCCTGATTCCAAGTCCAGCACTCTATCCACTGCACTGCAGGGAGATGAAAATAACAGGCTATTGCAATAATCCAGGCAAGAGATAATGAGGGTGTTTGTAATGTGGGTAGTGAAACAGGCCTGATTTCAGAGAAGCTTGAGGAGGAGAAATCAATAACACTTGGCTGGACTTCAGGCGTGAGAGAGGTTGTGAAGTGGGGTGACTGGAAGATTAGCTATGTACTTGACAAGAAGTGCATAGTGAGGTAAGAAATAGGTCCGGAATTAGGAGGAAGGTTGGGTTTAGAGGAAAAGATAACAAGTTCTGTTTTGTATATGCTGAGTCTGAGATGCTTATGGGACTCCAGGTGGAGAGGTCAAGTGTCACCTCCCCATGCCACCTTATACTTATTTTGTCTATATTCTGTACATTCTGATACAGAAATATTAGGGCAATTCAGCAGCCTCTCAGTGCCGGGGGCAGGAAGTCTGTCCCAGATCTAATCTGAATTGAGTTATGTTGGTCAAAATGACCACTATGGACCCTTCCAGCTCTCTCTGTTTCCCCACCTGGCTAGAAATGAGATCAAAACCCAATAATAACAGCTAGCATTTACATAGAAATCTGAAGTTTGCATGTTAATTCTTACTTTAGGCCCAGATGGACTCCAAAGAGCCTTGGTTTCTCATCTTCCTTCCTCTCAGCCCTTTTCCTTCCTCATCAAAACTCTTCTCAACAGATAGATCTCAGCCCCTAAGAATGAAGAAATCAGGTAAGAAACCATTCAATGGGAGAAGCGAACTTGAATGGTTAAGATAAGGCTTTTTGAAAATTAACTATGAATTTGGTGTCTTTCCTTCTTCCCTATCCCCAATTCTCCCTTTCCCAATCACTTATTCAAATCTTTCAGCCTTGAGGCTCTATGGCCATCCTTCCCACTATTACCAGGTTAATTCTCCTTATGCATAGCTCTGGAAAGCTACAAAGAAAGATACAAACAAACAAAAACCCAAAACCCTTTCAATGACTCCCCAATGCCCATTAAATAATAGGCATCTTCCTCTACTCCACCACAGGTACCCTTGCTCTAACCAAACTGAATTAGTAACTCTTCCCCAAACGTGGGGATCTTTGCCTTTGAGGACCTTTGTTTATACTTTCTCTGGACCTGAAATTATGCTTCCTCTGTCCTCACCTATCTCTGCCTATCTAAGTACTCTCTACCCTCAAAGCCCAACCCTGATGCTGCCTCTTCCACGAAGCTTCCCTCATCCTTCTAGCCTAAAGGGATGCCTGATTCCATTGAACTCCCATAGCACTAGGAGCCTTTATTGTGGCACAGGGCACTTTCTGCCTTGCATTGTCATTTTGTGTGAGCACTGATCTTTGAATCCCAGCTCTGACACTTATGACCTGGATTATAATCATTTGGTCAAATCACTTACTCTCTGGGCTCCAGTTTCCTCATTTGTAAAATGAAGAGGTAATACGATGGTGTAATACGATCAACAAGGTTTCTGACAGCTTTAAATCCTATGATCCTACTACCTCAGGGTTTATTAACCCAGGGGCCACAGAACCCCAAAGAGTCCTTGGAAATATTTCAGAGAGTCCTTGACCTTGGATGGGAAAAATATATCTTTATTTCAATAACTTTTAACTGAAATTTAGCATTCCTTTTGATTATGAATGTAGGCAACAAAACACAATTCTGAGAAGAGTTGACCAGACTGCACAAGGGGCCAGAACACCCAAAGGGAAGAACCCTGGTAGTAGATTATAATCTCCATGAAGGAAGAGACTGTCTTGTTTTCCCTCTTTATATCCCCAGTCTGCCTTGTACGGAGTAGGTTCTTTAGCTGCCTGTTGAAGAATGAATAAGTGACTGGAATTAACAGGTGATATCATTAAAGGTGAATGCTTCATTCATTCAAATGGGGACAATACCTAACCAGGCAGCTAGGAGGTACAGTGAATAGACTGCTGAGTCAGGAAGACCTGAGTTCAAATCCAGCCTCAGACACTCACTAGCTGTGTGACCCTGGACAAGTCACTTAACTCTGTTGGCCTCAGTTTCTTCAACTATAAAATGAGGATGATAATGATAATAATAATAATAATAATAATAATATCAACCTCACAGAGTCATTGTGAGGATCAAATGAGCACAAAGGACATTGGCTATCACCTAACAAGTATTTAGAGCTTGTTCTTTTCTCCCCTGCCTGTGTCTCAGGGCTCTCTTAAGGACCAAATGAGCTCATGACAATGGCTCACAATTATATATCATTTTTGAGTTTACAAAGCTTTTCTTTACAACAACCCCAGTGAAGTATAATTATCCTCATTTTACAGATAAAGAAACTGAGATTTAGGGAGGTGAAGACTTGTCCAAGTTCATATGGTTAATAAATGACAGAACTAGGATTCAAACCCAAGTAAGAGTCTGGAGTCAAAGTCCAACCCAGCCCTCTTTAAATATCAAAGTCTTGTTTAAATGTCAAGTTGTTCTGCCATCACCACCATAATTGAAGTCCTCATTGTTTTAGCCTCCTGGACTATAAGCAACTTGAGAGCAGGAACTATCTTTCACTCCTTTCATATTCTCAGCACATAATAAGTGCTTAATAATTGTTTATTGATTGATTGATTGCCTGATATCCTCAAATCTCTCCACCTTCCAATCCACCCTGCACCCTTATAATAAATATTCATAGTAAAACAAAGCAAATTCTTTCATATGCATATTTATTATGAGGGTTTTCTCTCTCTCTTTTTTGTTCAGCTAGGGGAGATATGAGACAGAAACAAAATAATTGCTTTTTAATTGAAAAAATTTTTTAAAAGAAAATCAAATGAGTGTTAGACCAGAGATGGAGTTAAGATTGGTGGAAGGAAAAGCCACACAGATATTCAAATTACTGATGCCTGAGTGGAAAAAGGGCAGCTAGGTGGTGCAGTGGATAAAGTGCTAAGCCTGGAGTAAGGAAGCCCTGAGTTCAAATCCAGCCTTAAGGGGCAGCTAGGTGGCGCAGTGGACAAAGTGCTAGGCCTGAAGTCAGGAGGACCTGAGTTCAAATCCGGCCTCAGACCAAACACTTGACATGTACTAGCTGTATGACCTTGGGCAAGTCACTTAACTCCAATTGCCTCACTAAAAACAAAACAAAACAAAAAAAACAAAAACCAAAACAAATCAACCTTTAAACACTAGTTGTGTGACCTCAGGAAAGTCACTTAACCCTGCCTGCCTCAGTTTCCTTTTCTGTAAAATGAGCTGGAGAAGGAAATGGCAAATCACTTCTGTGTCTTTGCCAAGAAAACCCCAAATGGGGTCATGAAGAGTCAGACATGGCTGAAAACGACTAAACAACAAAGCAGAGGGAAGAAATATTTTTACCTATTGAATACTGAACAGAAAAAGTCGCTAGATCTTACTATGCAAAAATAAAAGGGACCAAGAATGCCTGAGATTGCATTAGCCTTAGGGGATGCCATAACACCCAGCTGATTCGCACTGAGCTTATAAACCTCACGTTTCTTCACAAGAACTGATGGGACTTTACTTGAGCAGACTGTTGTCCCAAAAGTATGTACTGCTTTACAATTCCAACAACGATGTTAGGTGGACTTGGATCTGTTTCAGTGTCTGGACCCAAAGAACAGACATTAATAGGTTGGATAACTTGGTATTTCTTCTGAGATTCTGTGAGAGAAGGCTCTAGAAGAGAGCCCCAGGAATCTGGTCCTGTGCTTTCAATCATCTTATCAGTAACTTGAATGATATGCTTGTCAAATTTGCCGAATGTGCAAAACTGGCAGAGATGGTTACCATGGAGTGATTGAGCTAGGACTCAAGAAGATCTCAACAAGCTGGAAAGAGAGGTACAATCTTATCTAATAAGATGAATTGATCACCAAATCCCAGAATTTAGAGTTGTAGGAAGACCCAGTGACCATCTACCTAGGTGCCAGCAAACTTCTGCTTCTACTTTATTTATTCAAATCTTTTCTGTCCTTCAGGGCCCCAGCTGACGTTCCACTTTCCCCATGAAGCCTGTTCTAAATCACTAGGGATCTCTAAGTCCTCTGAGCCTCTAAAATACTTGTAGTTTGCCCTGTTCATTTTGTAAGTGACCCTACCCTTTCCTATCGAAAAAGGAGAGGGAAACAGGAACAAGTATTTGTGTGAGGTGCTGTGCAGGTACTTTATAATAATGATCTCATTTTGTTCCCTATATTTGCCTACCCCACCCCTCAAATCAATTTGAAGTTTCTAGAGAACCAGATTCCTATCTTATCCCTTAGTCTTATGCACATAGTAGGTGCTCAATAAATTGTTTAATAGGTGAATGAATAAAGGAATGAATTGTGGGATAGATGAATTAATGAACAAAAAGTTGAGAGACTGGGTGAGAGAAAACATTTATTGTGCTAAGCATTGTGCTAAGCTAAGACAGGCTGTTCAAGTCTTGAAATGTCGAATATAAAGCCACCCAATTGGGTGCAGTGGGGGTGGGGGTAGGGGTGGGTACAGCCAAGGTTTCATAGTAGGACGAGCACCAGAACTCAAGTCTTCAGATTCTCAGGGCAGCGCCCTTTCTTCTCCACAACCCTGCCTCTAAGAGGTTTGAGGGATGTGGAGAATAAGTAAATCCTAAGTGTGTTCTGTGATAGGATTTTGCTAAAAAGATCCAGGAGGCAATGATGTATCTGGCTACAGATGAAGCAGGGACAAGAAGACCTGAGTTCAAATCTGGCCTCTGATACTTACAAGCTATGTGATCCTGGGTAAGTCACTTAACCTCTGTCTTTGTTTCCTCATCTGTAAAATGGAGATAATAATAGCACCTACCTCCCAGGGTTGTTGTGAGGCTCACATGAGATAATATTTGTAAAGTTCTTTACAAAGCTTAAACGTTGGGTGTTATTGTCATTATCAAAATTATCACAGATAAGAGCCCATAGTGCTTGGTGCCACTTTCTAAGCATCACTGACTGAAGTCTAGAAAACAAAACTTGACACTACTGAGAAAAAAGAAATTGTACTAATGGGCTATGATTAGGTAATCCTGTAGGTCAAATCTACTGGTCTTTACCCCAATGAGCCTCAAGTCTGCATGCTATTTACTTGCTCAGAGACACTTATAAGGAGAAAAGAGAATGGTTGCCTCTTTATGTGTATAGGGGTGGGGGGGAGGAAGAAAGGGAAAAGCTAGGGAGGGATCCAGTGCATAGACAACCCCAAAGAGCCAATACTCCAAAAGCTAGTCCCGCTTGACTTTGAAATTGATCTGGTTTGCATAATATTTCTATGGAAATTTTTCAGTTATTTTTCAGTTGTGTCTGACTCTTCATGACTCCATTTGAGGTTTTCTTGGCAAAGATACTGGAATGGCTGTATCATTTCCTTCTCCAGCTCATTTTACAGATGAGAAACTGAGGCAAACAGGTTTAAGTGACTTACCCAGGGTCACACAGCTACTATGTGTCTGAGGCCAGATTCGAACTTAAGAAGATGAATCTTCCTGATTCAAAGCCCAGTGTTCTATATCCACTGTGCCACCTAGCTACCCCATGATTTGTATATATTATAAATATTACAAACCATGTTAATATCTTTTGTTGCTAATGTTACACATAATTTTTATGTATATGAGTATATATGTGCATATACGTATGTGCATATATATATCCATGTGTCTATATATGCATTGTGTATA